TTTTTTTTTTGAGATGTTGGGGCCAAACCAATAGAACAACTATTAAGGTATCTTTTTTTTCAGTGCTACATCCCCAACCCCTATTATAGCATTTCTGACAGCTTGGCCTACCTAGGAATTTGACTGAAGGAATTTGTTATTAGAAATAAAAAAATATGAACAAAATAATGAAGGGAAATTTGAGGGGTGGTGAATTAATGTAATGAAGTAAAGAATCAAATTATACAAATTTCTGCATCAACATTTGAAAGCCCTGGGGTAATGACAAGTTTATTAAGAAATTTTCACTGTGAATTTAGTACGAGAGTGCATTATTATATATTTAAGAAGTGTCACCAGTTCTTTGTCTACTAATCTGAACTTTACCTAGGGAAAAACTTAGATAAAATCATTCAGTTCAATCCAACAAGCCTGCAGGTAAAGATTGTCCAGGTCACCTGGTTTCATTATTACTGTCAAGCCTTGTAGAACTTTGGAGCATCAATAAAGATACTCAGGAGACTTCTGTGCTTCCAGAGTGTTGCTGCTTGAAATTACTTCTAACTCTATGGCTTATTCCTTTCTGAAAAAAGCAATTTTCTCACTTCTAATATTTTTAAATACTTTATTTTTTCTTTTACGTTAAAATGGCTTGTAATTTCGTTGCAACCAGTAGTCTCGCCTATGACATAGGCTTAGTATATTTTTCAGTCTGCAGCTCTTCTGTACTGCACTTTTGTTGCTTAATTTTGTGGGTGGTTGTTTGCTTGGGTTTTTTGTCGCTGTTGTTGTTATTGTATGGTTTATGTTATTATATTTACAAAGAGGAAAACTTAGATCTAGTATGACTACTGTTTTCTGTATTAGTCACTAAACAAGTAATGAACCTTGAATAGCTGAGTGAAAAGAGAAGATTCGGTGAAGGAAACATGAGTGGTGCATTAATTACCTCTTAAATATTTATTTTATATGATATATTAGCAAGAATAAAACCATACAAACCTAAGATTAACAGAGGGCTATCTATCAGTATACTACACACTGTTCTAATTTATATATTAAGTCTCTGTGAAGTTATGTATTTAGTCTGTGAGATACAGATAAGGAAACTGAAGCACAAAGAAACTAAGTAGCTTACCCAAGGTAACGTGTAAGACCCCACTTTGACAGTTGACTGTAGAATTGAGGCTCCTAATTAGTGTCTCTGCAGAGATTTGTTTGGCAAACTGCTTATTCAAGTGACATTTTAAAAAAAACCCATCATTTTAATGACAGTTGTAAACCTTATTTCTATGTATTGTGGTTAAAAGGATAAGTTAGTATATTTAAAACACAATATATAATTTCTTCTAAATATTATATATTTAGCAAAATCTGCAGAAACATAAAATTCTGTTTTGAAAAATAGAATCAATATTTTTGGTTAGATTTTCCTTGTTTATTTTTTATAATTATATTTCTACTGTTAATTTTACAGTTTACATGCTAGCTAAATTCTTCAAGGATAGCAACAATAGTTAAAATCATTTCTGCCTTACTTTTTCACAAAACTCTTTTGTGCTTTATAAAAACATAAACAATGGAAATGTACTGTCTGTAATTATGTCACGTCCTCTGTTTTGAGAATACTGAGCACCACTGTTTTAGTGCATCACTTAATGATTTACTTATTGAACTTCTGTGAAAATTAGATGTAAATCAGGTATTTTATGGGAAACTGTAGCTGTTAAGGTCATTACTGCAACTACCTATGAGAATTTTTGAGTTTTTCATGACTCTTAAAATCTTTGATTCCCAGACTTACAAAGGTTACTTATAATGACTAAGGTTTATGCAATTCTAAAAGCTTCTAAAATACCTCACTGGAGTTTAAGGCTCAAATGGGCAGCAACTGTCTTTTCATTTTTGTGTCCCTGAAACATAACATCTGGTAGTTGCATAATAAATACTAAGTAAGTGGGTGAGTCAATAAATGATATTTTATCACCTTATTCATTTATTAAACAAATGAAAATTAATTTGCCTCAGTAGTTAGAGTAGTCTTGTATGTTTTAAGCATTTAAGCATTGGGAATTAAAAATTGCATTTGTTATTATTTTCTTTCTGCATGTAGGGATTATTTGTGTCTCTAAAACAATCATTACTATTATTCAGTGTGGCTTAAAATACTCCTTTTTCAGATACATCTTTTCTTTTATAACATTAAACAAGGTATTTTAAATATTTTGAGAGTTTTAGCTCTCAATATTAACAAACATTTGAGTATAATAGCAATCATCTTTAAGTAACATGTAAAGGAAAATTATGCTTATTGTAGAAGTTTCCTCAACACTGGGGACAGGTACATTTTCCTCAACAGAAGGTCTATATACTATTTTGTTTCAAGATATATAATGAATATATCTTGTGAAACCATATGATATTATTTCAAACTACATTTATTAGATTTTACATTATGCATATAGGGTTTTTAATTATACCAAAGTTATATAGTTGAAAAAAACTACTTACATAGCATTTCTTTTCAAATCCTTGTGCACATGTGGTAATAAAAGATCTTTTATCACAATGTCTAGGCTTTCCTGTTACGGGTGCAGTTTGGTAGTGATCCAGACAGTATTTTCTCTGTGATTTTTTTAGTCCCATATGAGCTTTCCTAACCATTTAACTTGTTAAGTGAGGAAATATGATGGACCACTAGACTGACATCTGTAAGTTTCCCAGAAACCTTTATGGGAGAAGAGAATGACCCTTGAAACAAAGGCTGATTATTAGATGACAATTACTCCATTTTCCCTGAGATGCTTGTGGTGGACTTGCCCTCAGACTTCATCTGCCCTCATTCACTTTCACTGAGCCAACAGATTTAGGTACTCATGTTTAAATAAAATAGAATAAAAAATAAAATGGATCAAGAATGGGGCTCAGAAACAACTCACAAGAGTTGTATGAATCGTGGCCTTATAAAGAAGTCCAAAGAACACAGCCTCTGAGAACCAAACAATGGCCTGTTCCAGATGCTTCTCTGCAAGGGTGGAAATTGGTCACTAACAGGTAAAAGAGATCTTAGGGATCTTGGTCATGACTTCATCTGAAGTTCTATTTTGTACTTAGTGATCCTTAGTAATATGGACACAATACACTTTTTTTTTAAGGATGAGAATCTTAACATTTTAAAAAAATTCAGAAAGTTGATCACAAACTTCTCTCCCAAAAGGAAAATTAAAGGTACATCAATTCAGCTATCATTATAGAAGGATGTTTATGAACCAAGATGCTCTTTAGAAAATAAATTGCCAACCTGTATTTGTCAATATTATGGAATTGCTGGTTTTTTGTTTGGCTATTTTGTTTTGTTTGGATATTGCAGTTATAATTACAAAGGATCTTCATCTTTTAGCAATAGATACTGAAATACTGAAATACTTATGGATGAAATGATGTAGTGAGATTTGCTTCAAAATAATCCTAGAAATGTTTGTGGAAGAGTGAGTAAATTATAGGTGATACAAGATAAGCTGTGAGTTGATAATTGTTGAAATTGGGTGATGAATCTGTGGATATGTTTAAAATAGTCGAGGGTAAAATATTGGGAAAGTGCCAATCTTCCTAAATTGGAATAAATTTATCTCGAACTTTTTTTTTCTGATAGTAGAGGAACAGTTGTTCATGATTTAAATCTCATAACTCAGAAGTATGCCCTCAAAAATCTTAATCTATGGATAATGAATTCACTAATTTATCTAAATATCACTTCTGGGAAGTAATGAGCTCTCTAAGTTGGTGATTATGTCAACTAAAAAAAAACCCCTTAAATTTGTGCCTCAAATTTAGCCTTTAAACTTGTTAAGAGGTGATCACACTTTCTAATTTTTCAGAATTTCTTGCTTCATTTGCTTCTAACCATGGTTTCTGTGATTGTGTGGATTTCTGTCATAATGCCTTAAGAGGCATTATGTATTTAAAAGTAAAGATTTCTTCCTGCAGAAGTGACTTCATCTCCTTGATGGTTTCTAGTGCCCTCTTTGAAACTTTTCTAGCTTACGCATCACTTTCTCACTGAGGATTGGTGACTAGACCAAAGGTCTCTGTGTTTACAGATAGATCAGAATTGGTTAAAACAGGAAAACTGTGTAATAGCTCCTGGGAATAAAATCAGCCCCATTTCATATCCCATATCCTCCCTACGATGCTTATACTGCATTTTAGTCTTTGTGGGTAGTCATATTGGACCATTTCTAATCTATAGTATGTCTCAGATGTTTTAGTCCATTATCTGCTTTGAGATATAATTATTATTTTCCCTAATGTTTTATCTGATACTTGGTCACTTTAAAACTTCTGTATATTCACAGGACCTCATGATATCCTGGAGTTTATTGGGTTTGCTTTTTGTATTTATACTAGGAAAGACATTAGATTTTTCTATGTATCTAGAGATTTCACAATGCACTCTTGTTTACATAATCATAGGTACCCAGACACAAATACATTCAACTCCCTGTGCATTCCTTTTTATGAAATTATACAGCTAAGTATATTCAATGTATTTGATTTTTGTTCCTTTTTTGTAGTGAATTAAGCATAACATTGTCCTTCAATTCCATGGAGTCAGTTTAAAAAATTGTTATCTTTTCATCCATTTAAAATGTTCGAAAGGAAAAAGTCCACCTTAGTCCACCTGGAGGCCAATATACATCTCAGTTATGTAGTCATGATCAAATTTTGTGGCTTCTTCTGTTCCCATTACACTGGAAAATTGTCTATATCACCAAATACTATAGAAAGATTTCTTGAATTGTTCCCAAATTCTATATTTTAATGCTCTTTAAACTGGCACTTTTTTTGAAGAAGACTGTGAAATAACACTAAGAAGTAGACCTGTGAAATAACAGATATGTACAGTCAGAGTGCAAGTTCTAGTGGAGACAGACACAGAATTAGATCATTATAATATACGGTGTCTAAATAATTTTAAGAACAAAAATTGTCCCAATACTTAAGCCTTCGTATATTTATTTTATAATACCAAAGCATAAAGATGAAAAGTCATATGTTTAAATTGAATTAACTTTTAAATAATTTAATGCATTTTAAACAAAATATTTGGTACTTTTATTGTATGGCTTATGTAGATTATCACACTCCCTTTATGAGTTCAAAGGAGGAGGCAAGGGTATTGGCTCACATGGCTCACATGAATGCATTGGACTGAATAGGCCTCTTTTAGTCTTCTCTAACCACCTGGAATTACACTGTCCTTGTAAGATCCCTAAGCTGAGCTGGCTCTGAGTTTCAGTTTCGGGGGGAATATCTAACTTCTTCTGTGGTAATAGAATATGCCTAAAGTTCATAAGTGATCTTGTCTTTTGTGTGTTACTCATAAAATTTGTATCAAAGAATGTTAGACTCAGAAAAGAATGATATCAAAGCTCCTCATTATTATAAGAAAGGAAATGGAGGGAGGAATCATTAAGCAACTTGCCGGGGCTATCCAAACTGTGTGATTACAGCCTAATTCAAAATAAGGAAAACAAGTTCGTGGTATTCATTAGTGACTTCTTTAAGATAAATACCAGCAATGTTATGCAGCAGCAAACATCAGTAGGGTAGTATATGGGAAATCATCTTATTCACAGAATTCTTCACCTCTCTCTTTACCTGTAACTTGAAGACACTACCCCCATATTTTGTTCCCTGTATAAACCAACAGCTGCTAGATCCTTAAAAACAGCCGTAAAAAATAAAGGTAGATAACAGAATCTGTCACCATTTTTCATTCAGACAGATCTCAGTAGGTTAATACCCTGTAACGTGATCACCAGCTCAGTTAATCCTTGGAGTCCCATCGCAGTTCATTCCCTGCTCTTGACTCCATCAGGACCATGTGCCATGTTTAATTATACATGCCAGCAAAACGTAACAGGCATATGTTTGGTTTTTCCTCTCATCTGTCCAGCTTCCCTTTCCTCTACCTTTTAGGGTGAAAAATCTCAGCTGTACTTAAATTACCTGCTGACGTCTATTGCTTTAAAAATGACCTCCAGGAAAATCACAATAGTGAGTTGTGCCTGTATAAGTAAGGGGTCTGTGATTTTGCACTAAAGTCAGTTCTAAACTTAGATTCTGACAAAACTAAAACATGAACTAGCTGCCAGTTTACCCTAATGCATACATAATATTTATTTCTGAGGATGAAGAAAAAAGGCAAACTAGTCACTGTCTGCTACTCAGCATTCTGGCTGCAATATTCTGTCTGCAGCCCTTATCAAAGGGCAATTTCACATTTGATTGATTTGGAGATTATTTAACTAGGGTTTCATATTTTAAAGACAGAGCTCATTTCTATTCTATTTCAACCAAGAAAAGCACTTTGTTTTTACCTTCTATATCATACAAATAGTTAAATACTTCCGGCTGCAGCAAGTTTCCACTTTAAAAATAGAAAATGCTAGGGCATGCCTGGCCCATCCCCCACACCGCATCTACCAGCCTCTGGCTCTCAGTATTTCCGAACAGAGTTCAATGTCGAAGGCATTCTCCAGTCAGCACTCAGGAACCTTTATGAAAGTCTGAAGGGAAGAAAAAAGTAGGTAGAAATCCAGACGGTAATATTTCTTCTGACTAGAGCACTTGCATCTTAAGACATCTGCTTGTCACAGACAAAACATCAACCAAACTATGTCCGCAGATACTGCTCATGAAGGCAACTGCATTAAGCAGCATCTCATGAAAAGAAGGCTAGACAGTATAGAGGAATGTTCTTCCAAACGCAAAGCTAGCTGGGGTATTCTGACCAGTCAAGGTTAGTATAGCAGCCATTGCAAATTTGTTGGTGTCATGAAATATACTATATTGGCCTGTTTTTGCAAATACTAACTTTCAACTGTGGCTGCTTTACAGAATGTGGATTCTGAAATGTAAATGTTTGGCATGACAAAAGACTGCACAGTGTTTTCACCTTTCAGTGTATGGAAAAATGCATCTGTCAGCTTATTTTTATGATACATTTAGAGATGATAGTAAACTTTTAGATTTGGTGTTGCTCGCCTGTTTTAGCAGGTGTTTCTAAGTTGGTATGGAACAGAAATAGGCTATTAAGCAGGAAAAGACTGTTTATTAGCAATATGGACATTTTAAATCATGGAAATTAGACAATCAAATAGGAGGATGATTTAGGCAAGAAAATGAACAGAACAACTTCCTTAAAATGCTCTGTCACATAGTTATTAATTTTAGCAATAGAAAATTATGAGAGAAATAAAGAAGAGAACAGTATTAAAGAGAAGTCTTGCGAGGGAATTTTTTTTTCAAAGCAACTGCATTTTATTTTATTTTTTATTTTTGCTTGGTTTTTATTTTTATTTATTTTTATTGTTTTATTATTCATATGTGCATACAACACTTGGGTCATTTCTCCCCCTGTCCCCACCCCCTCCCTTACCACCCACTCCACCCCCTCCCTTTCTCCCCCATCCCCTCAATAGGGAATTATTTTTTAAAAAGAAAAAGATACATCAGCATAAATTTCAGTCAAATACCAATGTGGTTCATGAAAGACTTGAATGTTGGAACTGCAGAATCAGAAGCAAAATGACTGCCCCTTCCCCAATTGTAATACTTTTATTTACTACGCAACAGTTGGAGTTTGAAGGTTATTATTTATAAATGATTGTAAATTTTAAAAACAAAGCATATTTTTCAGTAGGATCAGGTATCATTTCTTTACACATTGAAAAAACAACTGGATCCTTTCTCCTTACTGGAAATACATTTTCCTTTACATTACATTTTAACAGTAAAATTCACAGTAAATTGATAAAACACCAGCATGAATGAAAAGTAGGTGACTACAAAGAAAACAATTCAACAACTGAACAAATGTCTACCGCATATTTACTGTGTGCTGGGCACTGTGCTAGGTTCTAGGAAGCAGCAATAAACAGTCTGTTCCCCCACTCCCACAGGCCTCAATGTTCTGGATGAATACAGGCGATTATTGTAGAAATCAAAAAGAATCCTGTCATTTCTTAAATGAAGAGAAAATTGCCTAAATTTGCAGTAGACCACAGGTATTAGCAATGACATATTTGTGGGAAATATCAAAAAGAAAAAAAAAGTGCATGAATTCACTTGGATGAACCTCATCTTCAGTGAAGAGACACCAGAGGAAAATGTGCTATAAAACTGCATTCAAAATCTAATTTTGATATAATCTTTGCTGACATGGTTTAAATATATTGAGACTATAAGAAAGGAGAAATATATGCTTCTAATAAAGAAAAAGAACAAGTCTTACCAAACGCTTATTAGAGTAATCTTCAAAATTTCCCGACATTGTTAATGTGAATGTAAATAGACCCAGTCTTGCTAAGGTAATTTCACAATATGCACCAAATTTTAGGAATTGACCATAACCAGATACTTACACATATTCACAAAGATAAGTAATTTTATTGATTTCCTAAGACCAAAAGCCACTTAAAACATCATTTGATATGTGATCAACCATATAAATAAATAATGTATACAATGAAATATATATATATGTATATATATATATAAAGATCACAAAGTAGTCATTTAAAATGCTACAGAATTCTATTTTGTGGCATGGAACAGTGGCCATGAGATATCATTAAATGGAAATAAGTACATTAAAAGCAATATGAATAGTATGCTTGCATCCTGACGAAAATGTATTTGTTTATCAAAAAAACATTGGGAAGAGTATACACAAAAATGTTTAATATGGTTGTGTTGGAAATATGTATTATGATTGTTTTGTGTTTTACCATTTTTTTATTTGATGTAAAAAACCACTTTAATAATTAATAAGACAATGCAGCTATTGTGCTATATTATACTTTACTACTTTTTCAAATACATATACAATTATATGAAAATGTAGAAAACAAAATTACATCCATAGTTGTTTTCATTATTAAAAGGTAACTTTTCACTGATTTAGTTAATCAGTTAATTATATTTATTATGGACTCATTAGAGATTAACACAGTTCTGGCCATCAGTTATTGTATCTTGGGGTAAGTCATATAGTCTCTCTGAAGCTCAATACAATGGAAATAATGTCCTTATTAAAGATAAGCTTTGTGTTAGACACTTCTTGCAACCCCATTTAACCCTTACAGCACCTAGAAAATGTTGCCTACATTTTATAGATGTAAAAACTGCAATGAGCAATTTAGAGAAATTTAACAAGTTAACAGCAAATACACAATAGAGTCCAGTTCAAACAGCCCTTGTTTTTAGCCCAAATATAAAGCTCCATGCAGTGCCATAGACAGGGTTCTTAGGAGACTTGGTATGATAATGTATGAGAAAGAAGAAAAAGTCCACTGTGAAACAGAGGTGAGTAAGACTCACTATAAAAAAATCCTTGAGTTTTGGTCTAGGGAGGCAACTTAGTGGTAGACTGCTTGCTGCTGGCCAGCATGCTCAAGGCCTTGGGTTAGATCCCCAGCACCAACCCCACCGCCACTCCCATAATAAAAAATGAAAAGACAGATCTGGCAAAACAATCATCAAAAAACAATCCAAGAGAAAGACCCCACTCTAAGTGCCCACACATGAAGGAGCTGAGATTAAGTGATGAGAAGGGAACATTTTAGTTGAAACTCAGAAGAATTTTTTGGAGGAGGAAGCTTTTAAGATGGGCCTTGCTACAAGGGCAGGATGGAGATAAGAGAGAAAGCATTCTAGCCTGGTGATCAAAAGGACAGGCCATAGTGGTAGCGTGCATCCCTAAAAAGGGGCTGAGTTTAGGTTTGATCCCCAGCCCTGCAAAAAGGAAAAAGACAAACAAAAAAGACAGTCTTATTTACTGTATTTTTTTCAGTGCTGGGGAACAAGTTCAAGGCCTTGTGTGAGCTGGGATAATACATAAGCACTCTACCACTTAGCTACCTTTCCAGCCCCTGCCCTCAAGCTCCTATCCCACCAGGCTGATTGGAAAACCCATCTTTTAAATAATGCCTCATCCCAACCTCTCCCTTAGGGCTTGTACAAAGGTTGGTTCTGAAATAGTGCTTTAGGGTGCTCAGCTGACCTTCATTCCTCAGACTTCTTCCTGGTAAACCCACTGGTTAAGTCCATTTTGTCCTTGAAAAAAGAAAAGTCAACAAGTTTGTTGTCTCCATGCCGAATTTAAGGTATGTGAGTGCCCTGAGTGGGGGGACACAAGAGCTGAAGACCGATCTTGTTCCTTCCTTTCTGGGATAGAATTGCCATGAACCTATGTTCTTCCTGTTACTCAAGACCAACATGAAAAGTCTATCTCTGTTGCTGGCTGTCTAGTTGTCTGTCTGTCTGTCTGTCTGTTCCCCACTTCTATATTTTGCTCTTCATCTATCATACTTTTCATCTGAGCTCTATTCTTTCCGTTCACATACTACTAATGCACTTTCCCGTACCCAGAGCCTTCCTCTTGACTTAAACTATCTTCAAGCAACTGCTGCTGTTTGGACTACATAAGATCCTACAGGCTGTGCAGGAAACACGGGTGGAACAAAAACACCGCAACTCCTTAGTAAATTACTGTGAAACATGAGTAAGAGAATGGAATAGAGGGAAGATAGTATGAAACATGAAAAATGTTTGGGAGAATGCAAAACAGCCAATTTAGCTTAAGCCAAGAATCTGTAAGACAGTATTAGAAAACAAAAAGGAAGATCTAATCTAATGTCTATCTAATGTAAAAAACCCTCTAATTCCAGTGTAAAAATGTTAGACTATTTTCAGTGGGTAGCCATTAAAGTTTTTAAGCCACAAAGTGACAAGGTCCCAGCAGTACTTAGAGAAACCACATGCTATATGCAGGCTGAGCTTGTGTACCCAGTCTGAGGCCTGTCAGTCCATTATATGGACTATCTGAGACTGTGCTTATACATGTTTTCGTTGTTATTGTTGTTTCTTAATTCAGTGGCAGTAAGAAAGAAGGTTGTGTGGAGACAGTGTCAGAAAACCATTTAGAGGTCATAAACCAGATAGAGTTAATTGAAATGGAAGTAGAAAATTCATTTGGAGGTCATAAAAAAGACTGAATTAGAGCTGGGCATGGTGGCACATGACTGTAATTCCAACTACATGGAGAAGTAGCTAGAAGGACTGCAGTTTGAGGCCAGCCCTGGCATAAAGGTAGCAAGAGCCAATTTCAATCAATAAGCTGGGTATGGCAGTACACATCTGCAATACCAGCTACTCAGGAAGGGCAGGTAGGAAAATCCGGCCAGCCCAGGGAAAAAACACAAAACCCTGTCCAAAAGATAACAAAGCAAAGATGACCAGGGGCATGACTCAAGTGGTAGAGTGTCCTTCTAGCAAGTGTAAGGTCCTGGTTCAAATACCAGTACAAAAAAAGAAGTCTGAATTATATTCTGTATTTTCTTGGTGAGAAGGGAAGCTGTGAGATTCTTTCTGACTTTAAATTCTTTCTGAATTTGAAAGGATTGCTCTGGCTCCTGTGTTTAATAGAGACTGTTGAAAGGCATAGGTGGAAACACTTCAGAGGCTTTTGTGTAGTCAGGTGAGAATAATGGTGGTATGGGCCAGGATAGTATCAGTGGAGGTGAGTGAGATATGGTCAAAGTTAGGATTATATTTGAATGGTTAAGACAAAAGGGCTTACTGATGTTGGCCTGTGGAGAGAGAGGAATAGAGGGAAATGAAGGATTATGCAAAGGATTTTTAGACCTAATGTAGACATGCCATTTACTGACAGGGAGATTTTTGGAATGTCAAACCAAGAATCAGTTTGGACATGTTAAACTGAATTGCTCTTTAGAT